AAGCAAGCAAGCAAGCAAGGAAGAAAGCAAGCAAGCAAGCAAGCAAGCAAGGAAGTGAGGAAACAAGAAAGCAAGGATTTGAAAGGAATGAAGAAATGAAGCCGGAGGACAGGCAAAGAGGCAGGCAGGTAAAGAAAGGGGCCGGAAAACAAAGTGATTCAACAATCTATGGCATCTTACCGTTTCAGATTTGGGATAATCCCCTCTTAGCATGGAATGCAAGTGAATATGGTAACATATTCCAAGTGAATCTAGAACCCAGTGAGCTGTGGAAACCAGATATCTATCTTTACAACAAGTAAGTCGAGTAAGCACCGAGATATGCCTGACATAAAGGGTTATAAGCATAAGCATAAGCATAACTATTATTAGCATCACACAACACGCATCGCAGTTACGACCACATCAAGATGTGGTGCGGCTACACATGAATACGAATTTGCAGTATCGTTTCCACACTTATACGAAACCCGCTATTTTTTTAAAGCAAAAAGCACTTCTTTCTTTCGTAGTGCCGACAGTGGGGCAGATGGATCTCTGTATGGATTCAAAGCCAAAATCACCGTCGACTCAGCTGGGCGAAACGTATGGTTGGCTCCAACGCTATTAACGACCTCTTGTAAAATCAACGTCAGATACTTTCCCTTTGACCAACAGGTATTTAAGCAAATTGTTTTCAATAAAAACCCTGAGATATATGTAGCAGATATTGATAAAGGAGATTGACTTGTACTTCTGTGAACATACCTTGAGAATGCTGGATCAGTTGAGCAAGGTAGGTGTCGATATTTTCGTATCTTATTTGTTCGTTTATTTTTTAAGGCCTGTACCTTGAAGTTTGGCTCATGGACCTACGACGCTGCCTCCGTTGATGTCGTATCGCAGAGTAAATCCGTCAACTTGCTTGGCTACCAGGCGAACGGCGAGTGGGATATGATTGGATTCCCATGTAAACGCAATGAAAAGCGTTACGTGTGCTGCCCAAACCCTTTCACTGATGTCACGTGCACTCTCCATATAAGGAGAAGGACAATGTATTACTGGATTAACCTGGTTGTGCCATGTTTATTAATAACAGGTAATTCCCCTTAATTTGATAAAAACACTATACATGTACATTAAATAACCCTGGCCACTTTCGAGATATGCTTCGCTTCCCACTCAAAAAGGTTTAAGTACGAGGCTACAGAATCACTGAGCATTATGCATTATGCTCGAAGCCTCACCATTTTTCCATTCATGCTTTGCGCGCCGCGTTCACCGCTTAGCTGGTTTGTTATCGTTGATACTCACGTGATGTGGACGCAAAATGGCCGGCCTGATGCTAGAGGCACACTGAGTCGATCCATTCACAATTGGCGCTAGTTACCACTAAAACAAGACATCTAGGATCACCTCATCTTCCTATATATCCTGTTGACAGAACTCAATATTAAGTACTGAACTGTACAATCATGATTTTTAATTTTGTTCTTATTGTCCTCTATAGTGCTGTCTTTACTTTCATTTATCGTAAGTACCGAGTCTGGTGAACGAATCTCTCTGGTCATAACCAATCTTTTGGCACTGACAGTCTTCATGCTGATTGTAGCTGATATTCTACCACCCACGTCTGAAGTGGTACCTCTTATAAGTACCTTTCTTACTTGTTCCATTGTAGAGGTAGGAAAATCTTGAAATTATCAGATAAACACAAAAGAAGCGATTAGGAAGAATTGACCTTTTCCTTTCCCTTCCTTTTTTTTTTTTTTTTTTTTTTTTTTTTTTTTTTTTTTTTTTTTT